CAAGATTTGTCGACGGATTCATCGGAGCGGGGTGCTGGACTTCCCCTCCTTTACTCGACTATCGAGGGAAGGGGGGAAACATAGGGTTAACTCGAAGTACAGTTTCCGCTGGAACTCCAGGTGGCACCGTGTTGCTGATTCCTACTCCGGAGGTCAATTGAGCGGCCGCCCCTGGTGCTTGAAGCGGGCCTTGATATTGTGACCGAGGAACTCCTTCTGTAGACGCCATAGACGCCTGTGGGTTGTTAAAAGGTCGTTCCCCTTTATTCCTCCTTGCAGGCCTACTACAAGTATCTTCTGTATGGAAGAACGTGCAGCACCTTCTGCACCACTCACTATCAACACATGCCAACTTCACCTCCATCAGGTCTCCCTGACAGGTTCTGATCCATATCTTGTCTTTCATCAACTCTTTCCTACTGGGGTCAATATCGAACCGCAAGTTGATCAATTTTGGGTCAGTCTCGTCGACTTCTGGTAAATCGGCCTTCACGATTCTCCCAATTGCTCTCTCCACATGATCTCGTAGAAAGACCACCTCGTCCAAAGGTACTCCAACAGCAACTACCAAAAAAACCTTCTCATCAATCGTCATCCTCCAATCCCTAACTCCGACCCTGGTCATCCAGGGTTTGAATTCTGTGCGGTACGTGGTGCCTCCCAAATCAATGCAGTCGGTCTTCTTGTTCAACAACCAATCAGTAATTTCCTGTATCCTTGGAAAATAAGAAGCCACATTCGAAAACTCCACTTTGATTTGGCCTGGTTTGAAATTTACTCCAAAGGTGTCATCCCTTATCCAACCATCTTCATAAGCGCGAATAAAATCTTCCTTGACTCTCCTTGGAAGGAATCTTGCCCCATCACGAAATATCACCGTCACCGTCCTGGCCTTCAACCACCTCACCTTCAGTTCATCAATAGAGTTGTTAAGCACAAAGGTTACCTCCGTGCCATTGATTTCCATGGTGCCTCCATCACGGAAGAATTCTATCTTCATAGCAAGCTCTCAACATCTCCTTCACTCGTTCTTCTTCAAGCGCATTATCATTTGGAACTTGAGCTCTATCTCCATGAGCTCCTGGCCCTTGAGCCCCCTAAGGGGTATGAACTTCTTCCATGGCTATCAAAAGGCATAGCAAACCCCCTTTGATAATGTATTGTAACTGTAGACTAGTGCAAAAACCACTTAAACCACTAGTACCTGGCCCAGCTATCGAGTCCGAGCCTCGGCCGACCGGTACGCCGATCCGTGCCAAGGCTCGGACTACCGGGCCTAGGCATCCCGAACGTTGGAAAGAAATGAACGAAAAAACCGAAAAAAAAAACCGAAAAAAAGTATGGCAGTGTATAGTCCCACGCTATAGCACCAGATTCGTTCGATTTTGCTCATCCTATGGAAAGCGCAGTACCAAGAGGCCAGCCGCGACGAGCGCGCGAGAGAGAGAGAGCGAGAGAGAGAGAGAGAGAGAGAGAGAGAGAGAGAGAGAGAGAGAGAGAGAGAGAGAGAGAGAGAGAGAGAGAGAGAG